AGAGGAAATAAAACTAGCTTTAAATATTTAAAATATTTTTGGATTTAACCTTATTAACTAATTCAAAGTCTTATCTTTTACTTTGTTTATGAAAAGTCATAAGATATTACTACGCTTATGAGATGCGTTGAACATTTCATTCAGAAATACCAAAAAAAGTGAAAGAATGAGATTTAATGATAATAATCTAAAATTTGAACGAATTACTTTACCATTTTTGGGATACTCTTTCTCTTCAGTTTTCCAGTGTATATGGATTTGTTGCAATATATATTAATAGCCAAAAGTTTAATTTATGTGGTATTAAAAATTCTTATTATTATGAGTAAAAAAAAATTGTTATATGCATATACAATTATACTAATAGATGGGTTGCATGTGGATAGAAATAAAATATAGCACCTGGTTTTAGAAACATATACAATGCTTACTTAAACTTACTGAAAAATTGGATAGGTTAGTAAAGTAAAACAAATCTAAAACTCTGTAAATTAAAACAGAACAAAACCTTTTCTATAAATACACTTATCTCCGTCGTATGAATTCATCGACATAATATCTAATTGGTTTTTAAGATATTTGATATTGTTGAAAATATATTTCAATGATAATGTAATCTTATTTTCAAATAAGGATTTTTAGTTAGGAACTTCTTTTGAACTACTGACCACAGTACAATTTCATGACACAACGGTTTTATCTGCTTTCTGAAGTGAATAATATAATCAATTGTCCCTTTTATAACGCCCCAATAGCTGGAAGTGTGGAGCTTGTTCAGCAGCATCATGTCTCGTACTTTGGACATAGGATCCACAGCCCGGCTCGTTAATCCATTGGCCACGCTCAGCCCTTGTTTTGATAAAAATCTTGTGGAGCTTACAAACTACAAATAATTACAAAATACTTTATGAAATAATCTTGACTCTATTTAGCACAATTAACTTCGTCCAATTTTTTTTTTTTTTATTGGAAAGGTTTAAGAATTGAAATTCAGTGTGGTATTGAGTCTAATACATTAGAATTTATCAGTAGTTTTAATCTAAATATTAATCTCAAGTTCTTTTCAAATATATATTAATTTAAACTGTTTCTTAATCATGAATTTGGTTGAAAGGATTGATTATGGCAAGTATTCTTACCAAATAGCTACGACGAATCTGATAGAACCGGACGTAACTAAAAATATAATTATAATGTGCTACACAAATATAGCGTTAATTTTTTTGAAACTTTTTTAAACATGTAGGCGAGATAAATTTACAATAATAATCCTTTGTGTACTGAGCTCATAGAAATTACAAATGTATATACTTTCATGTAAATGACAAGTGATGCTGAAAATAATTCAGTTTGAGCAAAAGCACATGAGAATTGACGAATATTACTTCACAGTAATTTGAGTCTTAAAAATATTGTTTCTGTATTTTTCTAGCTGATACATATAAGTTTAACTTAAATTATTTATACTAAAGGGTAGACAAATCGATATCAGATGTGCAACTGCGTGAGAGCTCTTTTTTTATTATCATATTTGCTTTTTCAATATGCGCGTCTTAAATATTCAGTTTTAATATATTCTTAAATTAGCTCAAAGGAGCATGAAAAATTAGCGGAAGGAACTGGTAAAGAGCACGAAAAATCTAATACACTGCTTTGAATTTTTTTTTACTTGCTTTTTAATTAAAAAGAATAATAGCACCGTCATACTAAGGATAGTTTAATCAAATAAGAATATTTTGTTAAACAGTCTTTTGTGTACTATAATCGCATTAGAAAGCTTCTTAAACTGTGGTGTCGATTTTTTAATTACTTCCGCTGAATTTAATATGCCAGAAAAGTCTCGCCCAAAGTTTAGAATTATACCATAACTCAATATTAAAGGAACGTTCAATTGTAAGTTATAGAACACAAAAACAAACAGACACTATCGTTATAATAACCAGACTGATAAAAAAAATATACAAAATAATTTTTAACCAGGTTTCTAATAGAATCAGTGTTTGTGACTCTGACCTAGCAACTTATGAAAGTATTATATAAAAATTATTTTTATACAGTGTTGTTTCAATAGCATGTGTGTTTCTGACTCTGGCCTAGCAAGGAGTTTTATTAAATAGGATGGAATGTACAAAATTAATTAAAATCTATGCTTCTTTTCTAATGGCCCAATTTCTGTAAGTGAAACCACAAAAACGAATACGATTGATAGTAATTTATTCAGAAAGATTTAAATATGCTGAAAAATGTTTTCAGTTTTGTGATAAGATATTTAAACGTTACACTTAAGAGAAAGTGGTTCATAAATTATACGGAAAAATAGATGTTAGAAAACTTATCTTATAATATATCTTATAAGAAGTTCTAACATTGAATATTTAACTATAAAATGTTCTTTAGAAATTTTAAATAAAAGCCCATCATAGAAAGTTAAAAGGGAGAAAATAAATAAATATGTTTATTGGCTTTGGTTTAGATTTAAGGATCTTCCTAATGACAGAGTGGATATAACTGTTTATCTGCAGTGACATGGTACTGCATTAGCATAAGCAAATGATTCTTATAAAGTGCAATTATCCCTTCGTATATGCAAGGTGGTAGATTTGAGTTTGTAGAAAGGTCCCAACGACGTTGGAGCACAATTGGTATTTGCTTCGTATGTATAAGGTATTATCATTCAGGTTTCTTAACACTGTTGATATTCAGTAAGCAGATGCGTGAAATTTCGGTAACATGTCCTTTAGGGCCCACTAGAAAAATAATACTCATAGTTGAGTAATCATATGTTGCGTAATTTCTTTTATATAAAAACAAACATTTATTGCAATAAGACACATTAATACACCCAATAAACCAACAAATAACTGGTTGAAGAAATGTATTTGATGTTATCCAAAGTAAGTATACTTTGAAAGAATCATAAGGTATTTGAATATTAATTTTTACATAGAAGAAAACTTTAGTACACACGTAATCAAAATTATCTCGTTTGAATAACCAATTTGCTGAACTGAAATATAAATGTAAATCCCAATCTATCATTGAATTTATCAATTCTCATTAAGTTAAATCGTTTTCAAGGAATTACATTCCTCATCAGTAACTCTGGACAAGAGAAAATTGAAATAATTACTAAGATTCTTATAGTGTTGAAGTGTATATAACGTCTAGTCTTATTCTTTCGCTTTCTTTATCCCAGTGTCACTGATGAGAGATGGAATTCCTCTCAATTGATATAATTGAATGATAACTGGTAAATTGAAATGAATGATTTAGTTTTACATTTATTTTTTAATACTTTTAACAGCTTGTCTAGCTGAATAATTCACAAGGATAAATTAGTAACGTCAATGTTGCATACTATTAAAATTCCTATACAAATATAGGATAGCGATGTGAGTAAAAGACGTTTCAGAACACTATGCTTTGAATCTCAGCTAATTATGAATGCGATGAGGTATTTGCTACTTAATGTAACTAACGTTAATAAGAATTTACATTCAATGAATGTTTAATAACAAAAACTACATTAATTGCAAGAAATCGAAATGGAAAATGTGTAACTTGCAAAAATCTATTAATTTTGTTATAATTCTTAATAAAGTAAACAAGGACACAAATTTATAACTGGTTTCCCTGTCTAATCCATATCGAAAGTATCCGTAGTGACTGTCAGAAATTTACGAAGATTCGCTAGGCTAGAGATAAAATTAACAAAAGAGAACGATAATAAACGATCTATTAAGTATATTAATATCAATGATATATCTAAGAAATATAACCTCTTCTTAATAATTCTCAAAGAATGTTTGAATGTTTTGTAATTAAGCACAAAGCTACACAATGGGCTATCTGTGCTCTGCCCACCACGGGTATCGAAACCCGGATTCTAGCGTTGTAAGTCCGCAGACATACCTCTGTGCCATTGGGGGGCAATTCTCAAAGTTAAACATCAAATTGATACTAAATAACTATATATCAATATAGAGCTATTTCGGACTGGATGATAAAGTTAGTAGGACTGTTATAAAGGTAAAAATACTGCAGGATATTTTAGCCATGTAACTGGATTGGCTTTTAGAAAACTTTAGTTCCCCAAAGGAAATCTCTATAAAGTGAATGAATTAATGATGTCAGTTTTACTGAAAAGCTGGTATGTATATAAAAGCAAGATAGTTTATTTATAGATATGTTACTAAGAGCAAATAATAAGTGAACCTTTTAGATCAAGTGGTAGAGCGCTCAACTGACATATAAGATTCCACTTAACTTCCAAGGACATTCAGTTATGAAAAACGTTAGATTTTCATACGGTGCCCTTACATTGGTAGACTATAACTTTACTGCAGCATCAGGGAGGCAATTTTGTTTTTCACTTTGTTTCAATGAATATGAATATTATTATTCAACATCTAATGACTTACCTAAATAGTTACATTTTAGCACACGAAAGTAATGAACGTTGCTGAGAATCCAAATTGATTTGTTTTCTTCGGTGTACAATTTATAGCACAGAAACCATTGTTAAGAAAGTTGCGCCATCTTTTGAGTAATTGTGTTCGACTTAAAAGAGATGTAAATAAGAAATAAAATTTTTCTCTTTATTTATCTAAAAACGTTGCATAAAATCGTGGTAGTTCTCTTGCCTTCCTAAAACATTTTGTT